AAAGTACTCGTTCCGCGGTAAAGGTGGGCTCATTTGACTATATAGGGGTCAATACAGTTTTATCTTAAAGTGGACCTATCATGCTATATTTGAATAATATAGTGTAGGACCATACCTATATAAGGCATATTTATACTTTTATTTTTCAAAATACCAAACAGATCATGCATTTTATTATTATTTATGGAGTTGGCCCAATAGCCGTAGCGCAACTTCTGTGACATCATAGAAGTGTTCAAATCTGGATCAGTCTGTATCAGATCCGTTGCAGCCCCTTTTTAGAGATTTGGGTATGGAGGAAAATAGAGAGGGTTGTGTTTTCTGACACTTGGTGAGTTCCCTGGAACACCGGGGACACGCATTCATGTATAAAAGACGTACAAAGGTGCATTTTGCATGATAGGTCCCCTTTAAGCAATCGGAGTCTAAGGTTTTTGCATGACTGATGAGTAACGTGGCAGACTAAACAGAAATGACCCATCATAGCTTGAAAATCTTGAGCATTACACTCGTGATTGTTGTCTGATCTCTGCATTAGAGCTATACATCATGAACCCAGTGCCCTGTAACATCTCCCAGTGTGATATTCGTTATTAGTCCTGGATAGGTGGTGAGAACCCGAAAAGTTGTGCTTATGTTTAAGATCTGATCTGTTTTTGAGTCGGATGCCTTAAAGTCTGTGGGTCACGACTGTAATGTCTAACCTGATTGCACGCTGCTCTGAGCTTCGAAAACTAGTCCAAGATAAACGACCAACGAGTGCAAAAGAAAAAGTGACATTGACCCCAAATGTTTAACCGATGAAACAACCCTTTTGTAGACCTTAAACCCTGTGTTTCCAGTTTTCATCAAGTGTGTGACTTTAGTGCTGTAAATCCCTGGTTTCACCTTACAGAGAGTTAATGCCCCTCACTTTGTCTTGCTCCAACCAATCGCTGCTGGACTTTCTCTAGATGGTGGATATATTCTGTCAGAGATCGCTCTGGATCCTGAGACGTTCCTCCTGACGTCTCCAAAGCCGGAGTAGGGCTGGAGTACGACCTGGAAAGAAAAAAGCTTATTAATGAGAAATGACTTTATTCCTATAGAATCTCAGAATCTACAATTCAATAAGGGCCCAAACCTGTTGTGCAACCTGAAGGGGGATTTTTGGGGCGGAACGAGAGCTGACACTGTGTCTCTGTGGACGGAACTGCTGCCTCTGTTTGGTGGCGATTCAAAATGTATTCTTGGCTGTTGCCTTAAAACTTCAGCTTTAGGTCCTGTAAGAGACATCAAGATTACAATTACACTCACTCACTCACACACACACACACACAGCGTGAAGGGATGCATATCATCATAAATCATTTTTGAGCTCACCTGGAGCATGTCCATTGACACTCCCAGAGACGGATAATCTTTTGATCGCTTTCTGCCACTTCTTAGTTAGGAATTTCATTCTGAAAGAAATCGTCTGATCAGTTTTATCCACAGAGCAGTCGTGACAAACTCTCATATCTTTACATCCTGCTACACTTCTTCTTACCTTGAGACAGCAATGACAACTCGTACAACAGCTCTAAATCGACTGCGGGGTCTGTTGTAGGAGGAGAGGGGGGGAGTCGGCCACGCCCCCATACGTGCGATGAGACACAGTGTGGCCTGCTCACACTCCTGGAATCCTCCCAGCAGCAGTATGAGGTAACGTTTCTGGTACACCAGAGCTTTCCTGAAGCTTTCAGCCCGCAGGTAGCGCTCATACAGACGCTGCACCTGCAAACCAATAAACACAGGTATCGTTTAATCCTTGGTCCAGAAAATGTCTGGAAATAATGAAAAAATTAATATAAATTTCTCTAAATGTAATATGATGTATTTTTATGTCTTGTTAAAATCGAGTCCAGTCCCCAAGATATTTAGTTTAATATAAAACGGAGAAAAGCAAGAAAACACAACAGCAGCATATTGTAGCATTTGTGCTTTCAAAGAAAAAGCACTTAATAGACCAATATAAATGGCAACCCTTTTTCTCTGCAGCTAATTGTTAAGCCAACATATATTAAATGTTTTGATTTACTTAAGTGGGCCCCACCATCAACGCAGTGATAAATCTATCACCAGCTGTCCAAGAACAGATTTGTACCTTGGCGTTGCTGATCACATCGTTGATGGGTCTGTTCTCAGTTTCCGTGGTGACCTTGGCCAGCTCGTTTTCCGTGAGCCGCAGCTCTCGCTCCAGGAAGGTGAGTCTGTGTTTGAGGGTGGCTTTCTCCTGGCTGAGCGATGTCACACGCTCCGTCAGCTCAGAGTTCTCCTTCATCATCCTTTCCAGCAGATTCTGTGACGACGGCATCTAGGGAGTGGAAGGTACATTCATTTCACAACAGTCCAGTGAGTGTATTCCTATATATTACTAGCATGACTAGCATCTAAAAGTGATATAGTAGAGGGGTCTGTGGCTGGTTCCACTGCAGTAATAACCACGTGTGTACCTGCTGGTTGTGTTGTGCGCTGCCTGTCTGGAAGTCACTCTGGAGATGCTGTGAAGATGCAGCCATGTTATGCTGCCTCAGCCTCTGAGCAGACATTTCTTTCTCCTCTCTTTCCAGCTCTACCAGAGTGTGCTGCAGCTCCTGCATGCGCTGCTGGTCCTGTTGCCTCAACATCTCCAGCTCACACTACAGTAAGAAATGTTTATAATTACATCATTTGATAATAGAATTACATTTGTCAAAGTGGTGCGTATAGTTAAGAAGCTTATTATATTTTACCAGTTTGTCATTGGTCCTCTCTTGCCGTCTCTCCCTCTCCATCTGCTCCTTCCTCCCCTTCCTCCTCTCTCTCTCCCACTGCTCCTCCCTCTCCCTCTCTTTGTCCTTGATCAGGTGCAGTTTCTCCTTCAGCTCGGTCACTTCCACCCCTTGCTGTGTGCTGCGCTCTCGCTCCATCTCTAAAGCACAGCAGCTTTCCTGTTTCTGCTCCTTTAGAGTCTCCACAGCGACACGTTGTCGGATGGCGGCCTCCTTCTCCCTCTGCAGCTCCGCCCTCCTCGCTCTGTCCTCCTCTTCCCATTTCCTCCTGCTCTGCAGAAGCTCCGCCCTGAGTTTGTTCATCACAGCTGCAAGCTCCTCCCCCTGCCTTCGCTCCTGCTCCAGCTGGGCGCGCATGTCGGAGATGAACTTCCTGTCTCTGGTGGCGTCGGCCTCGTGTCTCCGGCTGAGCTCATCCACCTGCCTGGAGTAACGTTCTCTCTCTTCGTCCACCTTCCTGTGAGCTTCTGCGAGCGTGGAGTGGATTTCTGCGAGGCGAGACTCTGCTTCGGTCAGAAGGCGCTCCAGACGAGTCTTGTCTTGCAGTTTGAGCTCTTTCTGGTTAGCAGAGAGTTGCCGTTCGTCTCCTAGCTCCTTCTGAGTGTCGTCAAGGCGTTTCTCCAGCAGCTCACTGCGGGACTGTTCAATCTGGAGCTCCCGTCTCAGGTTGCTGCAGGCCACTCTCTCCTGCTCCACCAGACCCTTTAGAGCCATGACCTCTGACCTCTGCTGCTCAGAGGATACATGCAGAGCCTGCAGAGGAAAGAGGGAGGTCATCTGTCAGAGTTTCAAAAGGAAAAGTTGGCATTCTTTACTTTGTTTGATCTTTTGAACTCAGTAAAATCGTTTATACACTGCCATTCATAAAAACTAAACCCCAATATTTCCACATTAAAATGATCGCAGCATCCAGAAAATCATCATTGTTGAGTTTTCTTAAAATGGTGACCTACCAAGAACATGGCAAAAAAGAAACAACTGGAAATAACAGCATGAAAATATAATATATCAATTATAACAATTATAGACAGACACTCATGATGATGTTGTACCAATGATACAGATGTTATATTAAGTAGGCATGTTTTTGGTCCTCGTCTCACCTCTCTCCTTTCCTCCTTCTCTCTGTCCTTGCGCTGACTCAGAGCTTGCTCCTGCTCCAGCTGTTGTTGAAGCTCCTGGACTCTGACCTGCTCCCTTCTCAAGGCTTCCTCACCCTCTGCTACAGCCACCCTGAAGAGACAACAAGCACAATTCAAACCTTACTTTTCACCACTTTTTGTAACATCCAAGTGTGACAGAAACATGACGAACCAAGTGAATGTTTTAATAACACGCATGTTCATTTCTACCGCACTCACTGGTTAAAAATATTTATTTGGATCAAATCTATTTGAAGTTATTTAATCAAATAAACACGAGTTGGTCGCGTCCTGCTTGTGACAAATTGCTGAATTCACACATCATGATTAACAATATATTAGAGTATTCTGTTATGTGTAGGATAGGATACTTGTGGAGAAACATTTTAAATATACCTGACTGACTGTATTTTGTTCTTTTGCTCTTGCTGAGTGTCATGAGCACACTTCAGTTGTTTCTGACTCTCCTCCAACTCGGCCCTCAGATGGGATTCAACCTGTCCATCAACCCGATCTCCGTGCCAGTCACCTTCGACTCTGTGCTCAGTCTGAAGGAGGAAGAAGAACATGATCAGCACCAATACCATGTATCTGCATTTCATTTCAAGACATCACTTTAAACATGTTTTTTGTAGATTCAAAGCTTCTTTGAAATACCTTTTAAAAAAGCTAGACATTTGGTACATTCCTAGCATCTTTTAAAACAACAGAAACTCACTTGTGTGGGTCTCTGTGCCATACGACAGAGCAGCTCTCTGAGAGCGACCACGGTCTCCTGCAGCGCCCTCTTCTCCTGCTGCCAGCCCATGGGGGGGATGGAGGGGGGATTGTCCCGCCGGTCCAGTACAATGGAGCCACCTTCAGAATGATGCTCTGTGTGACTCAATGCAAAGGCTCTTAAGTCCGAGACGTGAGGATATGTTGAGGAAGTGGCACGACGCTTGGACAAAGTGAGAATCCTGCAGCTTTCTTGATACACCTTTTTCAGCAGACACTGAAGGAAGTTGGAAACAGAAAGTGAGTGAAATCTTACCACCACACTGTCAAATGAATAGATCATTTAAATGTAAATCCTACCTGCAGCTCAGGTGACAACAGCGCATCGCTGTAGCTCATACTGCCTGCAGCACTATCTGTGTTTACTGTGGGGTTCATTCCTCTGCAGTGGAGATACTCAAGAAACTGAGCATCAAGCCTCTCAGTCTGCTCCAGCTCCACCTTCAGCCTCGCACCCAACTCTGAACTCACATCTGGAGCACAAGAGAAAGGAAGACAGTAGCTGATAAATCTCGGACATGCAAAAAAAAATAAAAAAAAAAATGTAATATCTACAAACGCCGAAGAAAGACCAAAATGTAAAAATAATACTTGATGCAACTAACAAGTATTATTTGAAGCCTGATATAAAGACATTATTAAGCTGCATTTTTATCCAATTACAATGTCAAGATAAATACTCACTGCTACCATATCCATCACTGGCCCATTCTGGTGCCGACAAAGAGGAAGTGGAACCAAGAAGAGATGATGGAGTTGTCATGTCAAGATCTTCCAACTCGCGCACCTAAGATAATAAGAATTACAACAAATATTTTTTTTAAAAACAAAATCAAACAAAATACCTAAAAACATCTGAACCAATAAAAGACTTAAATGCCCCCAAATGGTGGCATGCATCTATTCTGTTCTTGTGCATATCGTATATTCTGTTGACATGTATAGACTTTTTGCACTACTTTTTATTTTATTATATTATATATGTTGCATTGTTGGAGGAGATCCGGTCAGAAGAATTCCATTGCCATTTCTACACTGTAGCTTTGTGCATATGACAATTAAACATTTTAATCTGTGTACGTAAGAGTAAGATCACAAACTTTGTCAGTGTCCAGGGAGTCGAGCATGGAGAAGTTGTCGTTGACGGACACGGAGCCGGAGATTGGAGAGCGGGAACTCTGCGTGGCCGGCTCCGGTGTGATGGTCCTGGAGCGTGGAGACTCCATCACGACTCTGGGAGAGGTCTTGACGTGGTGGAGGTCCAGGCCGGTGCTGTTCAGAGCGCTGAACTCAGACAGACGGGAGCCGATAGCAGAGGCGCGGAAACGCTCTGGAATTCTGTCTTCGGAGCATTCGAGTCTCCTTAAAACCTCCGGAGAGCTCAGAGAGACGTCATCACGAGAGACGCTCACAAGGTCCTCAAAGGCTCTGTGAGAAATATCTAACAAAAAGGAAGAAAATAAAGACAATCAATATAACATTAATCAGGTTGATATTTAATAAGACAGAGAAAAAAAAAAAGCAATATATTTTTACATTCCAGATGCTGGAAAATACATAATTTGGCAATTTTTGCTTGATTAGTGACTTTAAGTTACATCAAAAATAGTGTGCGATTCAATTTCTAACCAATTAGACAACGGCTCAAAAGGTAAACTCTTCTTTAAATTCTAAGATCACGCAATGTTAGTTATTGATTTCCATCCTTTCATTCAGTCAAAGTGAAACATATTTACATTCGTAGTGCAATAAAACTACGATCAAGCTCAAATAAACATAATAACTTCCACCATTGGTGTTTATGTGCCATGAAAAATGTGTCATCATCATTCATTCCTCACCCTTCTGTGTGTGTCCTCGTTGGTGAGGGAGTGTGTCCTGCTGGTCACAGTGTTGTCTGAGTTGCTGTAGTTCCCTTTGCTGATAGGCCAGTTCCTCTTCCTGAACAGCCAGGTCTTCCTGAAGAGCCCGAAGCTGCGCCTTGAGCCGCTGGTTATCAGTCTCAAGGTTAAGCAGGGCACGGTCTTTAGTCTGACACAGAAATAAGGTACATTCAAACACAGCCGTCAATACAGCTTATTATACTCAAGCAATTGCTGCGTACTTGGAGTAGATCCATACAGAAATAAGACATTAAATCATGCTTAAAGCTTATATTTTGTACTAAAATGTCAAATATTCCCACCTGTCCTTCCTCATGTAGTTTCTCCGCCCTCTCTGTGCTGGTACTCAGACCCTGTTTCACCGCAGTAAGCTCCGCCTTCAGAGCCTGATGCTCCGCCCTCAGTCCGGCGAGCTCTGCCTCCCTCTGTCTCAAAGCAGCGTCTGCTTTAGCCAGGGTCCCCTCAGCATGGGTCTGAGACGAAGATAAACATTCTTATTAGCAGCAACATAATGCCTTTCATAGACTCTTATTTATGAAAACATTGCATCAACATGCCATCTTTGAACTGGCTTTTCCTGGAAGAACTACTGTTTACATAAGAGCAACAACCGATAACCTGCCATGTAATGTAAAGGGCTTTTTAACGATTACCACATGATGTCCGTGCTGTGTTTTACATCTGGTTCTTTCTTTTACATCTACTGCTAGATACCCCTTTAGCACACTATGACAATACATTTGCTACAAAGTACAAACGCAAAGAAACTCAGAAATCGGATCAGACTACAAAGACATGCAGCAGCCCAACAAACGCATTCTTTTAAAATCGACCACAACGTCTCCTTACCAAATCCTGCAAAGTCAGAACGTAAAGAAATAAAAGATAAAGTGCATCAGAGCTTTAAAAAACAGCTAGTAAATATTTCCCCTTCTACTTCCTCAATTTAAAGTCACTTCCTCCGTGTTTGTAAGAGTCTGCAGTCTGAGCAGCGACGCAGTGATGTGACGTGTTACGGCAGTTAAATGCAACCAGATGTGGGCTCGGCTGCAGATGCTAGCACAGCTGTAAGCTAGCATTAAGAACGGCAGCAAGAGATTTGCTGTCCGGACTTAACGCTTATTGAAGCAGGGTCCACAAAGTTAAGTGAATGGCTTTGCTGATTTAAAAAACAGACGCTGTTCAAACACAGGCTGGAGGAGAATACTTGTTCTGGTTGATTGGTGATTATAGATTTGGTTATTTATAGACTATATGTGACCTGCTCTATCGAAATCAGTCGCATTGACCTGAAGACACATTTTGAGTTGTATACACTGCTGGAAAGAGGAGATTCCTAGCTTTCTAATGAGATCAGGATTATTTTTGAACTACAAACATTAAGCAATATGTCACATTATATAATGACTGTCACAGAGTCATCATTTTGAGAAAAAGGCCTTCAAAGTTTCCTCTTCTCTGGAATCCATCGATCTGATTGGTTATTAGCAAATGATCAAAGTAGTCTGGAGGGAAAATATTTTCGTTTAGATTACTGGTCTGGGGGAAGCTCGCAAGTGTGTGTGTGTGCACGTGTGTGTGCACGTGTGTGTGTGTGTGTGTGTGTGTGTGTGTGTGTGTGTGTGTGTGTGTGTGTTTATTAACTTTATTTTAATGGATTTTGTTTATATCATTATCTTCAATATATTTAGTATAATGTCATATGTTTGTAATTAGGAAGAGGTGTTTTATATATGCATAAGGCAATAAATGTAAAAAATAAAGTAAATCAAAACATGTTTACCAAAAAAGAAGCTATGCAAGTCACAAGGAGGATGCATCACGTTACCATTCATCTTAGTTTAGATTTGCCTCAATGCATTAACACTAAGAACATCCCAGTTGAACTTGTGTCTGACTCACCAGCACCTCCTTCTGAGCCTCTTCCTGAATGGATTCCCTCTCGTTGAGCTGGACGGTCAGCTCCTGGATACAGGCTCTCATGGAAGTCGCTTCCTGTCTGAGATGTTCTATTTCCTCCTGCAGTTTCCCCTCCCTCTTCCTCAGTGTCTCGCGCTCAGCAGACAGCTCTCCCTTCACCGTCTTAAGAGTTTTAATCTTTATCCTTTCCTCATCAACCAGCTCCTCCATGTCGACCAGCTCGGCTCTCATCTCCTGGACTTGTCTCTCGAGAGTGAGGCTGGTTTCTCGGAGGACTTCCGTTTCCATTTCCATCTCCTGCTCCTTTGTTTTTAGAGTGTCCATCTCCGTCACCCTCTCCTGTTCTTTCTTTTGGAGTTCAGCGATCAGAGAGTTGAGACGGAGGTTCTTGTCATGCAGGGTGCTCATCTCTTGCTTCTGAACTTTGTCATGTACCTCTTCAGATAGTTTCCTCTGCTCTGCATCCCCTTCTTTCTGGGCTTTGACTTCATCCAGCTCAGCCTCTTTGAGGGTGAGGACACTTTGGAGTGTATCGGCCTTCTCCCTCTCTGCTGTCAGCCTCTTTCCGAACTCCTCCCCGTGTCCTCTGTACTCTTCCTCCTGAGTGAGCAGTAATCTCTCCAGTCCCTCTTTCTCTGCCACCGCCGCCTCCAGCTGACTCTGCAGGGTCTTGAAGCGCGATCGCAGGGAATGAGAGGAGGCAGAGTGACTCAGGCTGAGCTCCTGCTTCAGGCTGTTCGCCGCCCCCCCCCTCCTCGCCTGTTCTTGGGCGATGTAGTCGTCAGGTTCGGGGCTGGGAGCCGGTGAGGGGTTGATGCTGTCTCCGTCCTGAGAATCACTCACTTCATGCAGGTTCGGGCCTAATGTGGCGAGTTCTGCCTGCAGAGTGCTGATGACCTCATGAAGGCGCTCCACTTCTTCCTGTGTGTCCTGACGCACTCTCATGACCTCAGACTGAAGGTGTTCCACCTGTGAGCGCAGATCCTCCAGCTCAGCCTCCAAAGCCTTTGTGTCAGAAAAAGAACAATTCATCAGACAAGTGCGTTCTTCTCATCAACTAGGGGAGCTGCCATGCTGTCTTTAAGTATTCTGTGTGAATGTATTCTGACCTTGTTGTCCCCGGTATTGTCCAACTCCTGTTCCAGTCTTTGGATGTCAGCGTTGAGGTGGTCGATCTCCTGATTTTTCTCCTCGAGTAATGCTGAGGGGAAATTCTCCTCCTCTGGTTCCTCAGCTTCGCTCTGCTCCTCTCTCTCCTCATTGAGTATAGTGAGAGCAGAAACATTTTCCTGCAAGCAGAGTTGTAAATACCAGTTTAGTTCAGGGTATATGCAGGAATCCTGAAGTCAAATTGAATACCTTTTTCCAATGGAAAGGGTCTTAAAAAAGGTCAAAGGTTAGAACTCAAAGTGGCGCTGAGGTCTTAAAATGTATGGAAACTTTCCATACATTTTAAGACCTCATCGCCACTTTGAGTTCTAACCAGTTACCTTGGCGACACACTTTACCTCACATTGACTATATACAGTATTGATTGTCCTTCCTCCCTATCTTCCAACCATTTGGACGCAAACTTGCATTTCCCCATAACGATGTTGTTTAACAACCGGCGTAAACGGACCTTCGCGCGCTATCAAACAGATGTCCTGTTCATATGACGTCAGATCCAACGGGATGCCATAAATAAACTACACAGAATCACACTACACACCTACGCAATGATTACATTCAGGCAGACTGTAGAACACAACCTCTTTGGACAATTTATATACTTATTGAAAACAAGCTACAAAATGTAATACCTTGGAAAATGCCGTTTAATACTTTTTAATAGCCTTAACTTTTGCTAAATTGATTTATCAACTTTTAATACTTTTTAAGACCCCGCGGACACCCTGTAGTTATAGGTTATACGTTTTGGGTTGTCATTTCTCGAGTCTCTTTCTGATAAACAAAATAAAAAGTATAGGAAAAGTCTTTAATTTAGCCAATATTATAGAATACCAAAAAGCACTTACCTTTAGGACATCAATCTGTTCTTGGAGCTCGTTAACATGAGCTGCATTCTGATTGGTCAGTTGCTCCAGCTGTAGAGCGAGGTGTTTTAGTTCAACCTCTTTGAGGCCCAATTCACTCTGCAGAGTCTCCAGTTGGCCAACCGTGGCCTCAACCTAAAAACACATAACATTACTTATTAGTGAGACACATTTTAGGATTACAAAACAATTAACAATGCACTTCTCATAAAGGCTTATTTTCAAGACATCATATTTAAAGAGCAACTTGCAGGTTAGAGACCCCAGTGAATAAATGTGTAGGAAGAAAAACACTAGATTTTCAAAAGAATATACATAAATATACACCACAGTGACATCTGGCGTCGTTTTTGTAAGACATTTTTACTTCCTCATAAAAAAAGACCACCCGCGTGTGACGTCACATCAGGGAGAGCGGCCGGTCTAACGTATTAATAAACATGGTTCACAATGCTAGTTTTGACACCGAAGAGGTTGAAAATGTATATTCGTATGCATATGGCGGTGCAACCTGCACAAACACAATAGCTCACCATGATTAAAAATTGTGAAATACAATGTAAAATTACCGAAAAAATTAACTAAATCACAACCGCTCAAACCAACTACCAACTACTACCGTGAATTGGGCAGAGAAGGAGTCAGAGAAAGTTGCTCCCCTATGTGACGTAATATGACGCGTTTGACGTTAAAAAAAAAGGTTTTTAGTAGCAGAGCTCAAAACGGCTACTTTCTGAATTCCTGCCCTTTTGTCTCGTAAAACAGGCACGTCCAGCTGGGAAGAGACCAATGGTAGACCTAGGACCAGGTGGAGGGATTATATCTCTTCGCTGGCCTGGGAGCGCCTTGGGATCCCCCAGTCAGAGCTGGTTGATGTGGTCAGGGAAAAGAAAGTTTGGGGCTCTCTGCTGGAACTGATACCTCCGCGACCCGACCACGGATAAGCGGGAGAAGATGGATGGATGGATGTCTCGTAAAACATATGAAATCCTGTATTAACTTTTTTAAATTGTAATTTTCAGGCAAGATTAAGCATAAATAGTTTTTAGCAGTGGGTTAGAAATAGTGAGCTGCATATACTCAAAGGTGGATCAAGGCTGCATCCATACCTGTTTGTACCAAACTTAACCTAATTGTAATCCACAGCTACTACTCATTAGCCCGAATCGTTTTAACTACCAAACACCAGCTTTGGTTAAAAGTCTTACAGACCTCTTGCTCTTTGCTCCGTAGGCTCTGCTGAGCGAGGTCCAGCGCGTTGCTAAGCTCCTGGGTGGGTTCACGCTGGTTGTCATGGTAACAGTGTCTCGTCTCATCCACTTTAGACTGCAGGGCAGAGATTTGTAGCCTGTTGGACAGCTGCTGCTGCTCCAGTGCCTGCTTATCCTGTCAAAAGTGAGAGAACATTTGTGAGAATAGAAACACTCATGTGCACTGTGGTATGAACATTTAGGTGTTCAATTGCTTACCTGCGAGAGCTCCTGTTCTCTCAGCTTCGATCTGTGGAGCTCTTGTTCCAGTTGACTGATGGATCGTTTACCCTCGGCGTCGTTGAGCAGGGCTTGCTCCAGCTCTCTGATTCGCCCGGCTAGCTTGTCTATCTCTTCGTTGCGCTCTGCGAGATCCCGCTGGGCCTGCTGATTGGCTGCGATCAATGAGTCATGGTCCTCTGTCTTGTCTTTGATGATAGCTTGTAGACTCTCCACCTGCAGAGACATGGAGGACCACATTATGTAGGACATGTTTCTGGGGTTTAAGAAAAGTAAGAAACAACATGATTTGCAGATGTATAAGCCATTCATTCCAGATATGCAACGACGGGCATCCAACATTGAAATTAGGCCATTCCAGATAGCAGTGGTTTGAAGTGAAAGACAAATGAAGTGCAAAAAAACAGAAGCAAACGAATATGAAACGTTGCCAAGATGAAATGCAGATGAAAGTATGATAAGAAAGAATTAATCTATGGATGATAGCACAGAAATAATGATGGACGATACACACCATGCACTAGAGGAGCTAAGAGGAGTATGCTACGGTTAGATTTCATACCTGCAGAACCAAGTCCTGAAACTACAGCAATCCGTTCAGCACAGGGATAAACACATGGCAAAAGTCAGGCTCGTTGCAAACAAACAATGCAGTCATCACTTCAACCTCTCTAAAACACCACTACATTTCAGTTTAAAGGTTTGTAATCCTATAACCGACGCATCAGCAGTATTAGACACTCTTTAAAAAAAAACACAGCAAAAACACACTTCAAATGCAATATCTTAGAAACAGAAGCATTTGGAATGATGTATTATCCTGCAGAGACTACCTTTCTTTGTTTGGTCGTCATGTTATATACTTGCTACAATGGGCCTCACCCTGTGTCCCTTATTATCCACGCTGGCAGTCTGTCTGAGCTGGGCCTCCAGGCTTCGGATCTCCTGCTGGAACTCGTCTCTCTCGTGTTCACGCTCCACAGCCTGCTCCTATATGCACAGGAACAAACGATGTGAAAGACTGTCCGCTACATTAAACAGCAACATGAGAAATGGTCTCTCGAATAACACTAAAAAGAAAGTGAAGCGAGAATGGTATGAGAATAGTAGGGCTGCTCAATTAAAATCGTATTTTAAATCGCGATTACGATTATGGCTTGCATTGATTACAAAAACAACGTAATCGAAATAAAACGATTATTTTTTTATTATAACTTTTTTTTTTTTTTTTGGTTTTTCATTTGAATTATAATAATCGTTTTATTTCGATTACGTTGTTTTTGTAATCAATGCAAGCCATANTGGAGAAGAAGAAGATTCCAGTGGCCCCAATTTGTGTCCATTCTGGACAAGTGAAAAATGTATTCGGACAAGTAAATTGCCAAACTCACTTGTCCATGGACAAGTACTCTCTAAAAACTTTTTCTCACACTGATAATGTTGTGCAAATGTTGTGTTTGATCACTGCAAGCTTATGATTTGAAAGCTATTTCATAACTGTCATCATTTTGTATATTTTTAAAGCTATACCATTTTTCAATTAATTAAAAAAAATGTATTTAAATCCATCTTTTTTTCTTTTTCTCAGGCTTTAAGGTCCCAGTGGGATAAGAATGCTGAGAGCAGAGAGTCAAACTTCCAAATGTCTCTCTCAGAGATGCAGAACAGCCTTACTGCCACCCAGACAGACCTCACCCAGACCCTCAAAGCTGTGTCCCAGACCCAGGCAGAGCTGCAGCGGTCCGGGGCCAGGCTCCAGGAGCTCCAGACCTCCAGTAAGGAGCAGAACCAGGAACTGGAGGCGGAGCTTAAGCAGGCCTGTGCTGACAGAGATGCTGCTGCACGTGAGTTGCCTCCAGTCACTGCCATTATCCAAGGCTGCATCTAAATGAATTAATTTTGAAAAGGAAAACTGTTATAATTAGAATCTACAGAGCCTTGCCAAATAGTTCAAAGCTTCATCCATAATATAGACATTTCAATTCTAAATCCATAACCTAATGCGTCCTAATCAGCTACCTTGATACAGATCTTGAATGTAAAAACCCTACTGATGCAGCCCTTTTTTAATCTGCATCTCCCGCATCAAAATGGTTGCTGATGGCTGTCGTGATTTGAAAGACAACCTCTTATCTGCTTATCTGTATTAAAGCTTTGTTCAAGCATGACATGTCAGACTTCTGTTGTTTATATACATTGTTTGTCTTTCTCGCTCTGTTGTGAATGCTCCTTAGGTTCTCTAGAGGAGTTGATGTCTAGCCACAAGGCAGTGCTGCAGGAGAGAGAGCAGCAAGCACTCCACCTAGAGGAGAAGGAAGAGCAACTGAAGCAAGAGGTGAGGTCACTCGGTACAAATAAGCATTTAGTGGCTTGTGTGTTGCCATTTATTTCTCATTTCAGTCCACATGCCCAACGTTAATTAATCGATCTTCATATATGTTCTTTTATTTATTTTTTACCTAGTATCAATCTAACATTGTGTGCACCTCACAAAACGTTATATTTAAATTCACGAGTTTTTAACAAAATAAATAAAAGAAAACAATGATTCCTCTCTGTGAACCAGGTGTTGCGCCTTCAGGAGGAGAGGACCTCGCTCAAAAAGAACTCTGAACAAGAAGTAGGTCAGCTGTGGACCCAGCTGGAGAGCATGAGGACCAGCCGACAAGAGTTAGGAGGTGAGAGTCACACACCAGCCTGACATCTGCTTAACAACACAGTATTTCATCTACTGCATTCCTTTGAAATACTTACTGTTAGGATATCAAAGCTTCACGAGTCAAAGGGGGTAGAAAACATGTGGCTTTATCAACAATGGCTGTTGTCTGTCATGTGACACGCTGAGGAAAATAGAACTGCCTGCGTGTTTACGTGTTACTGTGCTCTTACCTTATCTGACCGTTTCCTCACAGAGCTGAAGGAGCAGCTGCTCGCCCGCTCGGCTCGCGTTGATGACATCGAGCGCCTGAAGACAGAGTTTAATGAACAAAAGCAGGAAATCAAAGAACAGAATGAGGCTGAGCTGGAGAGCCTGAGGAGGTATGAGAGCACAGTCCTAATGCATTTATTCTCTTAAGTCTTTCTATGTCTATGTCCAGGCTGGAAATGTGATATTTTGATTAAAAACTGATATTCAAACCGTGGTTGAAATATAGAAATACCAAATGCTTTATCGTCCTCCTCCTTTAGGTACTTTGAGCAGAGATTGCGGGCGACAGAGGAGGGACACCGAGAAGAAATAGCTCTGCTCCAGCTGAGGCTGGTGGAAAGAGCCCTGGAGGAATCTGTGATAAGAACTGCAGATGACAGGTATGTCAGTTTGTAACACCAGACGCATGAAATACTGAAAACATGGATCAAAAGTATTTTGAATAATGGTGCCTTTGGTGTCAGTTTCAGTTCCATATCTCAAGGCCAAGCTGAGGAAGAGAAGGATCATCTGTTTTCTGATGCCGTCTTCAAACTGGAGAAACACAAGGTTCGTCCATTCAAAGTGGGGAGAATAAGACATTTGAAAGACCTTGTGGGTTTCTAGATAAATATGATATTCAGCATTTTAACATGTCAGGTTAGACTTTCTGCACATAATAGCAGTGTAAGTTTTGCAATCTTGATCACAAGGTATCCTTATGACATGCTATTTCTCTCCAGGAAGCGCTTGACAATGTGAGTCTTCAGCTGGAGGAGAAACACACAATGGATCTTTCCTATCTACAATCTTCTATGAGCCTCTCCTTTAAGGAAGAGCTGCAACAGGTCAGACACAATCCCAGTCCTTTATCACTATTCATACCATTTCAGATTCATAAGCTGTTATGAGAGAAGCTCCTGGCACACAGTATCTCAGGCAAAATTCACAGTAAAGATATTGTTTAAATAGGATATACAGTATTCACACAGATTTTCAGATAATCTCTCAAGTAAGGCATTTAGTTGATGGATAACTCATTTACATGAGTAGTTGATGATCGTGACATTCAAATCTGAATTCCAGCAATCCTGGTTCGAAGTCGGTGTAAATCTTTTCAGTTTTAGGAAATGCACTTTGCGACATAAATATGTGTCCCCGGTGCGTCGGGGAACTCACGCAGCGTCAGAAAATAAAACCCTCTCTCTTTTCCCCCGTACCCAAATCTTTTAAAAACGGGTGTACAACGAGCGGATACAGATTTGCTGCCGATCTGACGTCAAATCGGCAGGGGACCCACAGAAAGATGCTATCAGAAACAATGCCTGACGTGTTTTGGACGTAATCTCGTCTTTGTTTACATTAGCAAGCCTCGCTAACACTCAGAGCTAACCTGTACTGAAGAGCATGTGTGTTTTAAAAAAGCAGGAAATAAAAAAAGGAACTCACCTTGTGATAAACCCGCAAGAGAAAAAGCATTTGAGCTCCATACTGTTTCAGAAATAATCTTTGATGTTGTTTAGAACAGGATGGAGTTTTATCACAGCAGAATTTAACTTTATCTCCGGTAGAATTCTGATCAGGCATTAGCTCCGCCTCTTTTTTTTCCTTTTTCAAGCTAAGGACCCAAAATTCGCGTTTCTCTAACAGGGCTTCAAAAGAGGGGTTTGAGCAGTATGAGGCATGGCTACAATGGGTGAACTGTTTGGTATTTTAATGTTTTGTATAGGTATGGCCCTACAATATATTTTTCCAATATAGCATAGTAGGTCCACTTTAAAGTATATAGGCCCTTCTACTTTCTTATTGACTTGTTATAATATCATTACTTGTGCTTTAGGTGCAGTCGGAGATCACAGACCAATACTATGAAGAGCTGCAGGAGCTGAAGACTCGTCATGCGATGGAGCTGGAGCAACTCCGAGCTAAGCTATCTGACCATCACGTAAAAGGTACTTCACACACACATTAAAACATGAATGAAGGTCTTTCAGAGGTTCCTCAAATGAAATGACAACTTCTCAAATCTATTTATTGCAGAGCTTACCAGAGCTCATTTGGAGGCAGCACGGCAAGTTGAGGTAAGAATTCGATAATCTATCCAATAAATGACAGATTGAGTTTATGGAGCATATCATGACCTTTCTTGGTGATTTTACTTAGGTGGAGGTTGAACAGAGGATGTGGTGTCTCACTGAGGAGCTGCAGTCAAGGATGACCATCATCCACACTCTGGATAGCAATCTGGCTGCATTGAGTAAACAACATGATGCAGAAGTGCAAAGGAACACACAAAAGGTACACACTTCGACAAATATGTATACTAGACCAATGTAAATATATCAGAAATGAAACCAAAACACACATTTAATGATCAGGGTTCTTACGGTTATTTAAAAACCTGGAAAAGTCATGGAAATTCAAAATGCTAATTCCAGGCCCTGGAAAAATTATGGAAAACAATATTTTTCCCAAAGTCATGGAAATGTAACTAAAGTTGCATAAATATAATTTATATTTGATCTAATCGCCAAAATAGTAATACTATAATGATAATACATAATGTATCGTACAGTAATGAAACGTAAAATGGCATTTAACTGACGAGGTATTTTGCTGGTGAGAGATTTGAGTTGCTTTAGCCTGTAGAAGCTAGTAAGCCTACTATTTGATTTGTTTTAGATAGGCACAACATGTTTCATATGCAGACCTTATTTTCCTGTTCCATGTTAAAATAAACCATTTTCAGTGGTACCGCTGAGAAAGAGTACTTTTTTTGTTCATGGAAAATTAGGTAAAGGTCATGGAGAAGTCATTGGTGAAAAAGTGTGTGAACCCTGAATGATGCAAAATGAGAATTGAAACCGTGTCACATATGTACATGTCTCTGCCAACTCTTACAGCTGAAACAGGAGTTTGCTGGTGAGCTCGTCCATCTGGAGGAAGCTCTGAAACAGGAGAGGGAGGATGTGCAGGAGGAGAGGAAGAGGTGGAGAGAAGAACTCCAAGAGAAGCACCAAGCCGAGCTCTCTGCACTGAGGTCAGAGCTGGACAGAGAGATGGAGAGCCTTGAACGAGAACTTCATGAGGAGAAGGAGAGGTTAAAAACTCTACAGGCTGCCCTGGACAATGATGAAAGTAAGACACATTTTCAAAACTCACATGCGTCATTATAAGTTTCTGATCAAATCTGAAAAAATATAATGAATTTAAGATGTGGTTCTTCATCATCTTGTAACGTGTTGTGTGTTCTCTTTTAGGCCCACAGGTCTTGATAGTGCGGCAGAGACTGGAGGCCCAGTACGACGGTGAGCTGCATAGGGCAAAGAGCTGCATGGCAACAGAAGTCAAGGAGCTCACTGCCCGCCTCCAGGAGCAGGGAGAAGAGCGGCTGCACCAAGCTCAAGAGAGGTGAGCTTCACTGGGGCTCTGGATCGCTGCTCAGTGGTTTGTCAGTGGGTAGACCTTGACACATGAGTCAGATTTGAATAGGCTAATTGCACAAGATGGCGTCTATCAACTTCCGGCGGCTTGGTGTGAGCCCGAGTACTTCCGGTCTTCGCCATCACTCACTGTACGGAGGCTCAGTCATTGGTAAAGAGTTGCGTGAATTTCATTCAAGGCAAGACAACTTTATTTACTTAACACATACAGAGGGTAAATTCAAAGTAGTACATTCACTGACATGGATATGGCGCCACCTTGTGTCATGTTTACAAAGAAGATTATTGACATTAGGTCTGGCAATACAGTCAATCATTATCCTGGTGATTATTTTGCTTATTTTCCCTTCAAAGAGCCATAATTCCCATCACTAATTGCTGCCCAGGCTTTTACCAGCGGGCCGTTCTGGTAGTTGACCAGGAAGCAAGCCACATTGAAGAGCTCCTCAATGCTTCCACACACAGACAGTGGTATGGCTTTGTCAAATAGTTTGTTCTCTTTGACTCTTCTGATGCACCTCTCCACATGGACCCTAAGCCTGGGCAGCAATTAGTGATGGGAATTATGGCTCTTTGAAGGGAAAATAAGCGAAATAATCACCAGGATAATGATTGACTGTGGGCTGCGGGGAAACGTTGGCGCTGTTCTGTGTTTGTTCTAATCTGTCAAAATTACGGACTGCTTTCAGATTTTTCCGTCATTGTTAAAAAAAATCCGTCATAGACGGAATATATTCGGTTAACGCGACCTCTGTGTGGTACACTCATGTTTCATTTCATTTCAAACCTTTATTTATTCAGATTGGACCCTTGAGATCATAGATCTCTTTTACAAGGGAGACCTGCAGCAATTTAAGTTCCACATGAAACATAAAACAACATAAAAACAAACAATAGAGGATATCATACAACATATTAAATACTTATCAACATTTACAAATACCCATAGTTTCAGAAAGCATTTCACTTAGACGTGCTTTAAAAACATTCAGAGAAATAAAATTGCTCAATTTTAGCTGTAGACTGTTCCAAGCAAGTGGAGCTGCGCACATAAAAGCTGTCTTACCTAAGACAGTCCTTACTCTTGGCACATCTAACAAGACTACATCATGCGATCTCAGACAATAGCTGCTTGCAACTTTCTGCTTTATCAGTGAACAGATATAATACGGGAGTTTGCCCAACATAGCTTTATAAATAAATGTGTACCAATGACTGAGCCTCCGTACAGTGAGTGATGGCGAAGACCGGAAGTACTCGGGCTCCCACCCAGCCGCCGGAAGTTGATAGACGCCATCTTGTGCAACTAGCCTATTGCTGTATTAAATAAGATTTTGTTTTTATAGATGTTTATCCTACCGTATGGTTGGATTTTCAAAGAAAAAACATGCATCTGAAGAGGTGTAGATTAGTTCTGCAACTACTACTCATTTGGCATTTGAATTAAATGCATTAAATCAGCAATACCATTTTGTTGTGACTTATATTATTAATATGTTTTACTCTAGTTCAAATAAAAAAAATAGTAAAAACAGTATTTAATTTCCAATAAAATGGCAAATCTCATATTTGACCAACATATAATGGATAAATGTATTATCATTTTGTTCTACTCACTATAAATAATAAAGGTCCCTTTTTTAATTGTAGCAAACCTGATTTTCATTATATTCTGAAATGCAACAAGTCACTGGGGAATAGTGTGTTTTTACTTTTATATCCTAACAAATCCCCCCCCAGTTTCATCTTGATGACCCATGGGAAATGCTTTTTTTTTTTGTTAAACATGCGTTATTTTGTCTCTGTTTAGGTTCCATGGGGAAAAGGCAGCGTTGGAGCAGAGTTTGGCCCAAAAATATGAAGTGTCTCTGGCAGAGCTGAAGAGCAAACATCAATCTGAGCTGGAATATGAGACGGCAGCACTGCGGAACAAAGAGAGGGACACACTCGATGCCAAACACAAAGCACAACTAGACTCACTCAGTGCCAGCCACAGAGATCAGCTTACTGCTACGGCCGTTGAGCTCAAATCCAAACACAGCGCTGAGCTTGTCGCCTTGGAAGCCGCCCTCGATTCTAAACGAAAGGCAGACATTGAAAGTCTGGAGGGCGTTTTGAAGGAGACCAATCAGGCTCAGCTGGAGGCTTCAGAAGCAGAGTTGACTCGCAAACACCAGGAAGAGAAAGATGAGCTCGAAATGAGAATGCTGGGTAATATGGATACTTTGGAGTCCACATACCTTAAGGAAGTACAAGTAAGGACACAGAATGTTTAATGTTAAGCCTTGTGTTATAATTCAATACTGCCGTTTAAGGGTCTTTTTCAGGTTTGAATACTTTTTTTGAATGCCATTTTCTTCTAATCTTAGGCACTGCGTGATGAAATAATACAACTTGAAGAAAGACATCGCCGAGGCCTGAATCTCCAGAAGTCAGAACACAAGCAGGTCATGGAGCGCCGCGCATCGGAGCAGCTGTCCATCAGGGAGGAGCTGAGGAAAGAGCTGGCTCAGCTGCACATAGAGAAGTTTAGTGCCATGGCAGCGGAGCTCAGCCACGTGCACAAGGTGAGAACTGAAGAGGGTTGGTCGAGCCCTTGCTAACATCTGCTATAACGTGAAATGATTTAATTAAAAGAGAAGAATGCACGTATTGACAACTTTCTCAACATCTTTTTGTCTCAATTTGTTCTTTCAGACTGAGCTAACTGCTCAGAAAGAGGCCTTGGATACTGAACACTGCAAAGCACTGGAGACCCTTAAGAAGCAGGTGCTTACCATAGCTCCTCCTTGTTTTTAGCTGAGCAAGGCAGAGAATATTGAATGAAAACAGTTCAGTCGTGCTGTTTTCCTCTCATTGTTCTCCATGAGTTTGTAACGAAGCCCTGGTGCATTTTATACTGAAGGAGCACTGCGATGAACTGAAAGAAAAGCTTATGAATTGTTACATTGCTTGTCAGCAAACTATTCATATGTTAACTTTGGAGACAATTTTGCCTTGTGTGCACCGTTTAATGTGGCATGCAATTATGATATGATCTTATTATGTGATAAAATGTGTATATATATATCTTTTATTCCTGACATCTCTGATTTATTGCTTATTTTTGGTCAACAAGATTCAAATGTTCTTAACATCCCGCGTCTCTCAGGTTTTAGAAGTTGAGCAACAGCACAACCTTGCTCTTCAGGAGCTCTCACAAACCTGCACAGCTGACAAAGAGCAAGTCCTCGCACAGCAGCAGCTCCAGCTCCAGGTAAAAGCCAAGCATTAGTGAGAGTACCTCGTTGTGTATGTGAATCTGTCTTTTACATCACGAGTTACCATTTAATCCTGTCCGGCCAGCTGTTTTTAATATTTAGCATTAGAGCTCTGGCCTCTGTGGCTCTTGCAGCCCATTAGAGAAGGGATTACACAGAATGATTGTTCATCCTTAATAATGGTCTTTTTAGGAACAGAGGTTATTGGGATTTCTTTCTGAGAAGCACTGAATCTGAACATTTGACCCCAACTGCATATTGTGGCATTAAACCAAAACATGATGTGTTTCTAATGTAGGAGTTGAGGGGGGTCTCTGCGCGAGAATTGGAGGCATGTCGCCGCGAGCTAGAAGAAGAATCGTCAAGGCAACGACAGCACTTCCTGGAAGAGGTGGAGCTCCTCAAAGTCCAATCAGAGGAGAGACTGCAGGACAGGATTAATCGGCTGAAGGTGAAAGATAAAATGCCAACAAATACGATGTTTATGATGTTTTGTTTTTTTTTATATTTCACACTTTTTTGGAAACCATGTGGCCTGCATATATAATAATTAATCTTATGTAAAAAAAAATTGCATTCCTATTTTATTTCATATTATTTATTTGTGTGTGTGTGTGTGTGTGTGTGTGTGTGTGTGTGTGTGTGTGTGTGTGTGTGTGTGTGTCCCACTGGAGATTTATGCAAACCCATTTTCCACATAATCCCACCATCATACATGTAGAAGTGTTCTTGTCCGTCTGTTCTCTGAATCTGGGAGTGTGTTTGTGTTGCTGCCATCTGAACAGTGGCTAAATGGGATGGATGTAAGCTTTTCATCCTCTGATGCAGAAGGTTTTAAGGCTGAAGGTATATATTTGGCATTTGACCATCTGATATGTGCAAACCAGTAGTCCGCCATTAGTCAGTGAGACATGACCAGGGATCTCTTTAGCTGTGGAATAAATAAACCTCCACAATACTGCAGCTTTTTAGGATGGTGATCTGCATATTTTAATTGATGTTCCAACATCACTGCTTTGTTTGAAGACGGAGTTTGAAGAGCAGAAGGAGGCGAGGCTTGAAGACCTGAAGAGGAGCTTCACGTCTGAACAGGAGGAGAAGGAGCGCAGCTACACCGACAAAATGAGCCAACTCACCATCCAACTGCAGCAGCTGGACACTGTGGTGGCCCAGGTACTAGACACACACACACACACACACACACACACACACACACACACACACACACACACACACACACACCTAGTAATTTGTTTTAACAGTATTTACATGATGTTCTTTGTGTTAATTAAAAGCTTGATTTAGGGGACACCTACAGCTTCACTTTACTTGGGGCAAGACGGGACAGGCCTGTGTTGTTTCTGAGGTGTTGAGGCTCAAATTACAAATTCAATTAATAAGAATTGATATTGACTTGGAAACAGAAAATAGAAGCAGTATTCTCTCTTCACTCCTAATTCCACTACTATCTAAAGCATAGCATACATAGGCCAGATTTTCCTAGCATGGGATTACATTTTGTTAAAGAGATTATCATTACAATGAATTATGACACTAATCCGGTGTGTGTTGCGCGTGCTGTGTAGTCTTCTTTGGTCGAAGCACGCAGTAGCAAATCATTATTTTGTGTTTATACAATTTATACATTTCTTATTTTTTTCGTCTCAAATGTGGAGATTTGCTGCTTTCAATATTTGATTTAATAGTATCTATTTCTCATGGTTTTGGACTGTGGGCGGACAAATCAAGAAAATATGTGCTGAGATTTTTATAGACTTAAAAATTGGCTGGAGACAATAATTATTGATCACATAAAAAAACATTTGTTGCATCCTCTGCAGGTAATAATATGCTTTCACTTGGACTTTAGATAGAGTTGTGTGCACTCAAATTACATCCTGCATTAATACGTATTTAGGTCTCTTTTCTTTTTTTAAACATATTTTTGTTCAATCTGACAATGTTGCTCAAAACTAATTGGAGTCAAGATTATTGTGGTTGTTGTGGAGACTTGAATGAAGCATGCCTAAAATGTTCAATTATTGTCATGTATCCCCTGAGTTACTAATAAGTTAGTAGCTGTACCTCCCAAAGCCTCGATTACTACTTCCAAAATCCCCTTTGGGACTGAATTATGAATTACTTCTTAAATAATTGTGTGGATTTATGCAGTCTCCTACCTTTTTTTTCTTTCTACTTCTACAAATAAATCTATAATACATAAAAGTGGCTGATGTATGTTTCCATTTGTTTCCATGGCACCTTCCTGGCTTGGCCCTGTAGATAGTGAGATATTAAAACACACACTCAGCCCCCATGAGGTTAGCAAAGAGTAGCAGATTGGGAGGGTCTTGTTGTCAGGGCAACAACATTGTTTTGTTGAGGCAGGTGGCTGCATGAGACGTGTTTGATAGGAGAGAGCGGGAGGTAGAGGGGAAAAGAGAGGGAAGACTTTGTGAAAGGAGGTGTCGAGGAAAGGAAGGTAAGAACATTTTATTTCAGAGGGGGAAGAAAACTCTGATAAACGCTCTTCTGTGGATGCTTTAAGCTGCTATTAAAGGAGGGTGACTTTGTTTTATCGAGCAAATATTTAATCTTTTTTTGTTACTGATGCTGGTTGTTGTTTCTGGATGAAGTGGATTGGGTGATTTCAACCGGTAAAAAAAACCCTCAATCGAGCAGATTTATGTTAAAATCAATGTATCTCTGAGGCTTGTCGGTAATTTTCTCTTCTCGTTTTCCTGATAACGTAAGAAACAAACAGACCCAGTCATTTAAACCAGTAAAAACAGTCAATACTCAGTTTCACATTAGGAATCGGTGTTTCTCTAATGCAGTTTAGCTGCTGCTAACGTTTGCTCAACTGCTCAGACAAACCCAAAAATGTAGTTGTCCATTTTTTTAAGTTTAAAAATAATTAATTTTCATAATTTTTTTTGTAAAAATGTCTCTTTTAAAACTGGATAGGAAGTCCATTTATGACAGCTTCGGCTAGAAAACCACAATGCTGACAAATGCTCAAAGGGTATACGGAAATAAAATGGGACGTAACCATTATTAAAGGTTTGATAATTGTTGTTCAAATTTGGTGCTAGTCAAGTCATTTTTGAACATGTCTATATTTCTGAGCTCTACCTATCATAGCCATCTCTGTGTCTGTTTTCCAGCTGCGAGCCGAGGTTGGCTGTCTGCAGGGAGAGTTAGAGGGGAAACGTTCAGAGATGGAAACTTTGGACACCCTCCTCCAACGAAGGCAGCGAGAGACTCAGGAGGGAGGCAACCTGCTCAAGATGCTCACTGACGATGTGCAGGCTGGAAAAGAGGAAAGGTAACCAATCACCAGCCATCGGTTAATATTACCTGGTGTTTGTAGGTTTTTCAGTTGAATGTTTAACTTAAATTCAATTGTGAAAATACTTTCCTTGACACATTTCTGTCTTTCCTCCAGACGTCAACTGAACCAGGCTAACGAAAAGCTAAAGAAGGTGCTGATTGAGATGATTCGCAGCACCATTGCAACAGAAGACATGATTGGACAGAAGATCTGTGCCAGAGCCAAAACATCAGAGCACGGGTCCCATCAGAGGAGCTCAACAGGCAACGAAGGTGCACAAGAATCAGGTCTGTTGGTTTCTCATTCAGGCTCGTGATGCTCTGACGATGCAGCGAACACTTGTTCTTTTGGCTCAGTCTGCTCTATGTATGGCGTGCTTCATTTGTACGTTTTTAAAATCAAGGCAAACCATTTAATTTGAACTTATTATTTGTATAGGTATCTCGGTTGCAGACGTGTCTTCACAGGACATGGAGCTGACCCACCTGCTCTGTGAGAGCCTGCTGGTTTCAGATACTCAGATCAACCCTGGGGGTGAGGAGGCCGCTCTGAACGCCTGCATCAGACTGCGTCACACTGTGGACACGCTACTGGACCTGCTCAACCACGCCAACAAACAGGTACAGGATGCGTGAACCAACTCAGCAATCTACATAACATGTTTCTTTATTCTCTATTTAACCCTTTAATTACCACGGGTTTCTCACTCTTCTGTAGTTGGAGCAGACTCATGGTTTCCACCACTCTCTGGAGGAGAAGTTCTCTCAAGGTCGAGAAGACTCCGCTCAGCTCCTCGTGCAGCACAAGATTCTTCTGGAGCAGCTGGATCAGGAGGCCAAGCTGAAGAGTGAACTCCAGCTGGAGTACCACAAGGCAGAGGGTGAGCACCAAATCCTCATTGGCTCTGATTCACTTAACTTCTCTTATACTGCCAGAAGTTAATCCACTGACTGTTGCCACGCCCCGCTGCTCTGTAAAAGTGTTTCAAATACTTATAATTACATTTAGCTGATGCTTTTATCCAAAGCGACTTACAATAAGTGCATTCGACCAAGAAGATACAAACTTGAAGAAAACAGAATCATATAAGTACATCAGGTTTCATAGAGCCAAAACATTTCAAGTGCTACTCAATTGGCTTTAGATAAGCCAGTCCTTTATTAGTATATAAGTGCTTTGTTAGTAATTCTATCGCTCGAAGTGGAGTCTAAAGAGATGAGTTTTCAGTCTGCGCCGGAAGATGTGTAAGCTTTCTGCTGTCCTGATTTCAATGGGGAGCTCATTCCACCATTTTGGAGCCAGGATAGCAAACCCACATGTTTTTGCTGATGGGAACTTATATCTTGTTGTTAAAAATGTAGTCAGTAATCTAATCCACGTATCACATAATTACAGTTCTGTAACTTGATTACTTCTAGTTACTTTTGAATTACTTTTTTTACCAACTAGAAGTAACACCATTATTTTTTATTTCGAATGTAAGGATGTTATGATTTCCAGAGGTGAACATGCTGTCATCATTCAACTTGAAATATTTGGCACAGATTTTAACTTCAGCAGCAGAATAATACAGAAATTAAATTACCCAATATCCTATATTAAGATTGATGGTCCAAAAAGTGGTAGGGGCTCTTATGAAAACGCCACGAACAGGAGTGCGAATGTGCAAGGCATCATTCTTTATTTTAAAATGTTTTTTTAATTATCAACCTGCAATGAATCTTTCTTTCTGAACTGCACCAAATCCATTCATTTCTTTTTCTATCCTAATTATGCAACGCTCTTCCATGTATTCCGTTATACTCCCCATGCCTGCTCTTCTTTTTCCGCCCATCCTAGAGTCTAATGGCACCACTTGCACAAAAGCTTACGTAACAACATGGCGTCGCATGTGTTCAGGGTTATTGGAGGGCTATGTGGCTGAGAAAGCATTGCTGGAGGAGTCTCTGCAGCAGAAGGAGGTGCAAGAGGAGAGACTGGTGGAGGAGCTGGAGGACCTGAAGGTGAAGCTGCACCAGATGCAGGGCCTCACCGCGGAGCTGGACGGACTCAGACTGAAGCACCAGGAGCTCAGCGAGGAGCACTCACTCCTCCTGCGCCAGAAGGAGCATCTCTCCGCCGGACTGGGGGAGAGGGAGAAAGGTGAGCGGAGTCGACGCACAATCCTACGTCAGTCTGCTAAAATGTTACATGACCCCTTTAGTGAGCTTGACCACACACTTATAATAATGTCTGTGCTAAGATGTGTCTTCTCTCCGTAGGCCATTGGCTCAATTTAGATCCTGACGCAGGTTTGTGGGTCAGAGTGGTGTGTGTGTGTGTGTTGAGGGGGTTGGGATGAATATGCAGTGCTGTGTGAGGTTGCTGTTAGTAACACTGCCATTGCCAGTAGCTAGTAGCAAAGGTTTTTGAGTGCAGTGTTATTTTACCTCTTCAACCAGGTTTTAGCTCCGAGTGGTCAAAGCAAATGCATTCCGTGCCTTTCCATGAGGGACTGCACAGTAATACTTGTATTTATTTAACTCCTAATGTCTTGCAAGCTTTGTTAAACCCCCCTCTGTGAATGTATTTGCATTCAAACCATCCCTCTAACCTTCCTCTTTATTCTTTCAAGCTCTTCTTGCAGAGACGGAGCGTTTGACCCAGGATCGGCTGGACTTGCAGCGGCAGGCCGAGAAAGACCACAAATCTCTGTCGCTGCGCCTCAGGGCCCTGGAGAGGGATCTGGAGGAGAAGGAAACGCAGGACCTGGAGACAGAGCAGCACCACAAGACCCACACCGAGGACCTCAACCAGCGCGTCCAGGCACTGGAGAAACAACTGAAACACGACAGGCAGTTTATTGAGGTTCGATTTTACAATGGAATATATTTGTAGCCCCCTTTTTTAATGTAAAGTGTTATTCTTCATAAATCTGCTCCTTCGTTTTCTCTTTAATTTGCAGCCCAATATTGTGGGGCTGCTCGATTATGGCAAAAATCATAATCTCGATTATTTGGGTCAATAATTGTAATTGCGATTTATTAAATGCGATTATTCATTGACTTTGAAAACCTCCATTTATTGGAGATTTTTTTTTTAACAGTATGTTTTTAACAGTTGATTACCCTGAACTTTACGTATAATTCAAATGAAAAACCCAAAAAAAAAGTAATAATAAAAAAATAATCGTTTTATTTTGATTACGTTGTTTTCGTAATCGTTGCAAGCCATAATCGTAATCGCGATTTAAAATACGATTTTAAAATACGATTTAATT